AGGCTACCGAGCTGCCCTGCGCTACAATGGCAGGACCAAGGTTTAGCGCAAATGCACATCACAAGCATGACATCAGTCCGGCAATTCCGCCGTTCACCCGCACCCGGAGAGTCACGCTCGACGAGCGTGTGAACGTGTTTGTCGCTAATGCCTCCTGCAAATCTACGCGGCGTAGCGTGCTTATACGGGCTGGTCGTCGATGCAATGACGACAGCGAAGGGAAGCTCAGCACATTGAAGTGGAGTGAGAGTGGCCGAGCGGGTTCGTGTTTCCTGACGACAAAGGTACCTCGGCCTGAGGAGCCTGAGAACATCACTCTGGGATCCCTTCGATGGTGATTGACATTCCTGCTACCAGAATGTTCATTGCCCCAACTGAGAACCATCACGATATAATGCACGAGATCTGACTCCAATGGCGAAAAATCGAGCCGTGGTTCCGAGTTTTGACGGAACGCGAAAGCCGCAGGTTTTTGACCCCCGCATAGTGTACCAAGCAATGTATATGATTGATGAGGATTGCACAGAGACGAATTTTGGAGTGGATCTGAAGGTGAGACTTCACGATACCCCCGGCGTCTTTAAGTTATGAATTGCGTCTTTTGACTGCGTGAAGGGGTTTTTCTATATCTTCCAAATGTGCACTTATGTCCCATTACCATGACCGAACATACTTCACAATTTTGCGAATGGGTTGGCCTAAGTTCACCCTGCATGGTGCTTATACAATGATCCTCCGCAAATTTGGTTCGATCGCTCTTTCCCTTTTCTTAGGCGACTTGAGCTCTGAACCCAGGAACTTGTTCTTTTATGGATCATGTATTTGGCTTGTAAGTTTGCTGAGTTTTACGAACTTCGTAGGAGTTTTGGGACACTAAACCCGCAATCTTTTTTATAGACAAATCGAAAACCATCTCCACCCACCTGGGCGGCGTCGTCATTCCGCCCTGCTCGAGCATTTTCCTCGGTCTCTCAGATTTTCCACCGACCCACTCGCGCTTTTTCGTGATTGCCGGCCTGAGCATGGCAGTGCATATGCTTAGCGCTATGCAATCGGCATCATCACCGCCAGTCCCATGAGCACGACATCACGGCTTGGACCACTGACGCGATCTGCGCACCTTTATGGACGTCGACGAGACCCACGGACCACTGACACTTGACCGCCGGTGAGCGTCTGCTGGAACTGCGCGTCGAAGCACTACGGCGAAGACGCCGAGAGGAGGCACGGCGTCGCGCCAGGTCACGAGGACTTCCTGTCTCAGCAGCACGCGCTGGGGCGCAACGGGAACGCTACGGCGACATGATGCTGGAGTTTCTGCGTTCCCGACAGTCAGAGCTATCGCAGGACGGCAGCTAGTCCCGATGCGGTGGATCGACCGGGGGCCGGAGCCTCCCGGTGTGGATGGGCATGCCCGTCAGTTTACGGCTGGGTGGGTTGAGTACGTCCGTAATCAAATTGGCGGGCGTCCCAATGATTCCTATTGGCGGGAGTTTCGCTCAGGCGTTGGGCAACCGCTCGGCCGACATCTGCTGGTACTGCGAGCGCCAGTGCGAAGCAACTTCAGAAGCCAGTGGCAAGACCCCGACCGTCGACCATTTCCAGCCGTTGTCCCGCTGTCCCGAAATGGCTTACGAGTGGACGAACTGGGTTTTCAGTTGCCGGCGTTGCAACGGCGAATACAAGCAGGATAAATGGCCCGCGTTGGGATACGTCGACCCATGTGCCAGCGATGAGCAGGAACGCCCGGGGCGTTATTTTGACTATGACCCTGATACCGGCGAAATAATCGCGCATCCGGGTCTTACTGGCGATGCCCGGGAGAAGGCTTGGACCACCATTACGGATCTGGGTCTCAACGAAATAGACGTGCGGTTCTATCGCATTAACTGGTCTCGCCAGTTTCTGGATGATCTCCGGTTGCTACCGGCCGATGATCGGCAAGCTTTTGTGGAATTCTGGACTGGCCAGCCGCACGAATTCGCGGCTCCACCAGTATGGCGGTAGCAGCAACTGCGCACAGCGGGCGAGATCTAGTCGCTTCCAGCAGGCCCGTCGATTTACCGCGTTACTCACCGCGCTCCAACCCACTCCCCTCTCCCGCGCCGCCGCCGCAATGTCCTCGTACTCCGCCGCCGCGCTGACCACCTCGCCTCTCAGCCACTTGCGCTTCAGACGCATCGGCCCGTACTCCTGTCTCCACTGTCACGATGTCCCGGTCGGCGACGTAGCTGACCCACCGGGCGGACGCGCACCCCCAGCGTCGGCGTGTCCCGCAGGAACACCTCCGCCAGCCGGCTTTCCAGCGCCGCCGGACCCAGCGCCGACAGCAGCACGCCCGGCCGGTTCTTTTTCATCTGTATCGACGTGTGCCACACGTCCAGCGCGCCGGCCTCGAACAGCCGCTCCATTGCGAAGCCCAGCTGCTCGCCGGTGGCATTGTCGAGGTTGGTTTCCAGCAGCACGACGTTGTCCTGCCAGCGGGCTACGGGTGGTGTCGGCTCGCCGGACGGGTCGGTCCGCAGGTCAGCGCCGACGGTTTCCCCCAGCCACAGACGCAACACATTGGGAAAGGCCGCCGGGTCCTTGCCGCCGACGCCCACGCCGATGCGATTCAGTGCCAGGGCCGGCTGGCGAAACTCTTCGGCCAGCGTGGTTATCAGGGCCGCGCCCGTTGGCGTGGTCAACTCCCCCACGCCGGCATGAAAAGCCCGCTCCGGCGCGACCGGCGCTCCGGACGCGGCAATGATCTCCAGCGTCGCCGGCGCTGGGTTGCTGTAGCCGCCAGGTCTCCTCGGGCCGCCCGGTTCGCCCAACACCAACGGCGCGGCATAGACGCGCTCTACGCCCAACTGTTCCAACCCATGCACGACGCCCACCACGTCAACCAGTGTGTCGGCCGTGCCCAGCTCATGCAGGTGGATCTGGTCGGGATCGTCCCCGTGTACCCGGGCCTCGGCGGCAAAGAGGGCGTTGAGCGCGGCGGTGGCGCGTTCGCGGGTGTGGGCGGACAATGCGGCTGCCCCTGCCACGGCGTCCAGCATCTGACGCGGGCTGTAGCGCGGCGCTGCCGACACGTCCACCGGGGCGCGGGTGCCCCGTACCTCGCAGCGCATCTCTGTGGCCATCGCGATTTCGACCCCGGGGATGCCGAGGGCACCAACGGCCTCTTTCACATCATCCAACGGCAGCCCCGCATCGAGCAGCGCGCCGAGGAGCATATCGCCGCTGGCGCCGCCGACGGACTGGATATAGGCGATTTTCACGGGCGCCGGGCCGTCTCGGCTATCCGCAGCACGTCGTTGAGGCTGCCGGAGCGCAGGCCGTTCAGGTCCAGGGACACCCAGAGATACCCCAGCTCTTTCAGCCGCCGCGTGATCTCGTCGCGGTGGGCAAATGCCAGTTCCATCTCGTCGGCGCCCACCTCGATGCGGCACAGCTTGTCGTGATGGCGAGCGCGTACCTCGCGGAGGCCCAGGTCCCGCAGGATGTCCTCGGCCGCCTCGATGCGCCGCAGCGACTCCACGGTGACCGGCGTGCCATACGGGATGCGAGACGAGAGACACGGCTGCGCCGGCTTGTCCCACAACGGGACGCCCAGCCAGAGCGCGGCGGCGCGCACCTGCGCTTTATCCATCCCCGCTTCCACCATGGGACTGCGGATGTTGTGCTCGGCGGCGGCGGTCATTCCGGGACGGTAGTCGCCCAGGTCGTCGGTGTTTGCCCCGTTGGCGACCCATGCGTAGCTCTCCGCGGACGCCAAAGCCGCCAATTGGTCGTAGAGTTCCGTCTTGCAGAAATAGCACCGCTGGGGGGAGTTGGCCACGTAGCCTTCTCGCTGCAATTCGTCGGTGTGTATGACGCGGTGGTTGAGCCCGAACTGATGAGCAACGCTTTCCGCGTCGCCCAGATCTCGAGCGGCCAGGGCCGGCGATATCGCGGTCACGGCGAGGGCGCGCTGGCCCAGCGCACGATGGGCTGCCACGGAGAGCAACGCGCTGTCGACGCCGCCCGAGTAGGCGACGACCACCGATTGCATCTCCCGCAGGATCGCTTCCAATCGGGGGCAGACATTCGGGGTGGGGCCATCCATGCGGGATGGTCAAATTTGACATAATTCCTGCCGGCAAGTCCTATCGAGTTTGGGGATCATTCTACTACAACGGGGTCTGCGCACTGCCGAGGGGACGCACGATGACGGTACAGAGTATCAGCGCGATCACGCTGGCGGTCCATGACATGGCGCGGGCGGTGGCCTTCTACCACGACGGAGCGGGCATACCCATCCTGTACGGCGGGCCGGATACGAGCTTCACTTCGTTTCGAATCGGCGGCGGCTACCTGAACCTGATCCTCTCCGCCGACGCCGATGTTCGCTGGTGGGGCCGCTGCATCCTGTACGTCGACGATGTGGATGCCCACCACCGGCGAATGGTTGAGGCGGCTACGCGCCCGACGGCAAGCCGGATGACGCCCCTTGGCGCGAGCGTTATTACCACATCACCGACCCCGACGGCCACGAGATAAGCTTTGCTCGGCCGCTGGAACCCGTCTAAAGCCTCACAACTCCAGCCCATACAGATAGAGCGTCCAGGCTGGTATGCGGAAACGCGTGATCCTCCAGTTCGTGGTAGCCGCGATGCTTCAGAAAGCCGATGGCGGCGGACATGTGGTTGGATGTCCAGACGATGGTTCGCGCGTACCCCGCGTCGCGGCAGAACTCCTCTGCCTCATCCAACAGGCGGTGAGGCCACACCCTTACGCCGAGCGGAACGGTCCACCGCTAGACGCCGGATCTCCACTTCTTCTTCGTCCCGACGGTAGGCACCGATGCAACCCACCACTTGCCCTTCAAGTTCGGCCATCCAGAAATTGCTGCCACGGCGCCGCAGGTAGCTCTGCTCGATGTGCGCCAGATCGTGGGTGAGGGCGCCGTCGAGGTATTCGCGGAACCCCTCGCGGTCGGCGTCGTTGTGGAGGTAGCTCCCGGCAAAATCGTCCTGAGCGTGAACGAACAAGTTTTCGGACCGCCTCGGCGTCTTCGGCACGGAACTGGCGGACGGAAATCATGGCGCCTACGTGTTGACCAGGAAGTTGATGATGTCCCCGTCTTTGACCGGGTAGGTCTTTTCCCCTCGGAGCGCAGCAGTCCCTCCTTTGCGGCCCTGTACCATCCCGCCGCAGGAGCAATAATCGTCGTAGGCGATGACCTCCGCCCGGATGAACCCGCGGGTGAAATCGGTATGGATGACACCGGCGGCGTTCACGGCCGGCATACCGCCGGGAACGCTCCAGGCCCGCACCTCGTCATCACCAACGGTCAGGAAGGACACGAGCCCCAAATTCTCGTAGCTGGCGCGGATCACTTGGGAGTTTGCCGACTCGCCCAGGTCCAGATCGGCGCGGAATCGTTGGCCTCTTCCGGGTCCATCGTGCTCAACTCAGCCCTCGATGCGCGCGCTGATGCTCACCTGCCCGACGCCGGCGGTGAGCCCCGGATCGATGTCCAGGTCGGAGATCGATATTACATCGGCGCCTTCATCAGTGTTGAACACGGCAATTACGTTTTTGTCCGTGAGCAGTTGGTAGTTGACCAGCACGGCGCGTTCCGAGTCGGTGAAGGTCTGCCGGCGTACCGGAACCCCGCTCTCCAGGCCGGCTCGGGCCTTGTCCACGGTCTCCTTGTGGCGCACCACCATCGGCCTTTCGGCCGGCTTGGTCTTGTTGACCTGGTCGGCCAGCCGCGTCGACGCCCGTTCCAGCACCTCCAGGTCGGCAAACGACAACTCGCCCAGCATGTTTTTCAAGATCACGCGCCGGATCCACCGCTCCCGTGGGATGAGGCACCGCGTCACTTTGAAATGCCCGCACCACCACGAGAAACGCGGTGGCGGACTGGAGGATGTTGCGATAACGCCCGCTGATCCCCTGCGACCGCGCCATGCCCTCGGGGCCGGGGAGGTCGGTATAGCGTATCTCCGCTGGAACAATCTTGCGGGGATTGTAGATGGTACCCAGGTAGTCCAGACGCGGGTCCGGCACCTTGACCATACCCAAGTGCATTTCGGTGGCGCTGCCCGACGCGCCGCTGGAGTCGGACCTGCCCAGGGTGAGTGCGTTGAAAAGGGCAGATTTGCCGGATTGGGGGAGGCCGATGATTACGATGTCCATACTTTACGATGTTGACTCGACGGGATGTTGGTTGATTAATCCTGGTGAAATGGATGCCCTGAAGTCGGGAGACGACTGGCGGGCACTGGCGGCGAGCCGGTGCCCGCGGGACGCTACGAACCGCGCTCGGTGTCGTCCATTAGCAATTTCATGACTTCAGGAGTCAACGTGATGTGGATGGAGCCGTCTTCGCGTTCGCCGAGTTGCCGCAAGGCCTCAACGATCCGCCGGCGCTCCTCTCTCCGACCTTCCTTTCGACCCTGTTCTTTCAACCTTTTGATTTCAGCCGGTATTAGCAACACCATGCGTCCAAGCACCTCCAGAACGATCGCCACCAATAGCGCCAAGCCTGCCGCCAGCGCGAAGATACCTACCAGCGCAAATAGTTCATCCTTACCCTGTTCTCGCAGAGGGTGATACCTCGACAGACCGATCCCCACTCCAAGCAACGTATACCAGATAGTATACGACCCAATAGCGCTCGGCGATGCTCCTCAGCGGATCCACCTTGCTGTTGGTAGCTGCCGAATCGCCGACCTGCCTAGCCGGTTGCCAGCACCACGGTCCCGGTTGAGGACAGGGACCCGCCGGTGCCGTTGACCATGCTGGTCGCGGCAGACTGATCGGACGAGCCCTTGCGATGGACCTGGCGGTCGCCGCACTCGCCGCGCAGCTGACGTACTGCCTCCACCAGCAGGAAGCTGCCGTACATGCCGGGGTGAGAGTAGGACAGGCCGCCACCGTTGGTGTTGAGGGCGAATTCGCCGCCCGGCGCGGTGCGCTGGTTGGCGACGAAGTCGGGGCCCTCACCCGGACCGCAGAAGCCGAGGCCCTCGATGGTTACCAGGGTGGTGTAGGTGAAGGAGTCGTAGATCATGGTGTGGTCGATGTCGGCGTGGGTCAGGCCGGCGCGCTCCAGCGACAGCGGGCCCGTCTCGCGAGACCAGGTCGAGGTGTGGTCCTGCATGAAGCTGATGAGGTTGTGGTCGTGGCCCTCGGCCGCGCCGAGTACCCACACCGGCGCCTTCTTGCAGTTGGCCGCCTTCTCGGCGGTGGTCACGACGATCGCCGCGCCGGAGTCGGTCACCAGGCAGCAGTCGAACAGGTGGAACGGCCACGCGACCCAGCGGGAGTTGTGATAGTCGTCGAAGGACATGGGCGAATCGTGCATGTAGGCCATCGGGTTCAGGTTGGCCCACTTGCGGGTGGAAACGGCGATCTCGGCCAGGGCCTGGCGGGTGCGTTCCTCGCCGTACTCGTGCATGTACCGTGTGCAGGCCATGGCATAGTTGATGGGCTGGCCGATCATGCCGTACGGCGTCTCGTACTGGGCCACGGGGAGGTTCCGGTCCCCCGGAACCGCTACTCTGGTGGACCGACCGGCCTGACCGTGGGTGATCAGCACCGTGTCGCAGTAGCCGGCCCGGATGGCCGCGGCGGCATGGGCCACGTGGATCACGAAAGAGGAGCCCCCCACGGAGGTGTTGTCGGTGAAGGATGGCTGGACGCCAAAGTACTCGGCGGTCGCCAGGGTGCTGAATCCGGCGGTCATCAGCCCGTTCACGTCCGACATGGACAACCCGGCATCATCCAGCGCGTTGTAGGCGGCCTCTGCGTGATGCTGGAGGGAGGACTTGTTGGGAACGTTGCCCATCTCGTCCGATTCGGCGACGCCGACGATGGCGATGTCGCGGTCACGTTGTGCGGTGCTGGCCATAAAGCTACCCTCCAGAGTCCGGCTTAGGCGAATTTGAAGCCAAATGATGGTACAACATTCCCTACGGGCCGACAATCGGCTGCGGCGTCCGCCACACGCCGGCTTCGCATCAATTGCCCGGGCAACCCGGAGGATAGCAGCATGAGCGCAACCACTGAGGCATCCAACGCGGCGGTAACGGCCATCGCGGAGTTCATGGCGGCGCTGAACGCTCGGGACGACGCGGCGCTCTACGATCTGCTGCACCTGCCGCATGTGCGCATTTCCGGCGAAGGCGTGGCCATCTGGCACGACCGGGCCGAGTTGGAGGAAACCTATCTCCGCGACTTCTACGCCCGGGCGGGGCCGGACTGGCATCACACCACGCTGGACCTCCACCGAGGTGATCCACAGCTCCGAGCACAAGGTCCACGTGCTGATCCAGTTTCACCCGGTGGGACGAATCGGATACGGCCATCGCCACTTACCGCTCGCTATGGATCATGACCCGCGCTAACGGTCGTTGGGGCGCGCAGGCGCGGTCGAGTTTTGCGCCGTGACGGGGCGACGAACGGTGTTAGACTGTGCCCGAACAGGCGAGAAACGAACGCAGGGAGGACATCATGGCCCGAACTCCAACAGTGACACGCGAATCAGTGCCGGAAAACGAGCGCGCCGCGTTCGATGCCTTCGTCGCCGACCGGGGCGAGGTGCCAACCACGGGGCCGGGTTCCGTGATACTCAACGCGCCGGAGGTGGCGCAGCGCGCCCTGGGTCTGGCGCTGTACCTGCGCACCGACACCTCGCTGTCGCCGCGCATCCGCGAGTTGGCCATGTTGGTGGCCGCCCGCGAGAACAATTGCCAGTTCATCTGGAACGCCCACGCTCCGCCGGCCCGCCAGGCCGGCCTGCGCGACGAGATCGTCGACGCGCTGCGTGACCGGCAGGAACTGCCCAACCCGGCAGCTGACGAGGCCGCGGTCGTGGACTACGGGCAGCAGTTCTTCCGCACCCGCAGCGTTAGCCCGGACTCCTTCGACGCGGTGGTGCAGCACTTCGGCCGGAACGGCGCGACGGAACTCACCACGCTCATGGGCTGCTACTCCATGCTGGCCTTCAACGTGAATGCTTTCGGCGTCGAACTTCCCGACAACATCACCGAGAAGCCGCTCCCCGTGTAGAGCCGTTGCCCGCATAGAGCCGCTCCCTGTATCGAGCCGCTCCCCGTATCGAGAGGAACCCAACATGTCCATCCAGCGCGAGGCCTGGCTCGGCCAGAACGTGGAAGAGGCCATCGATCCCGGTCTGCCCATCTGCGACCCGCACCATCACTTCTGGGACCGGGAGGGCGACCGCTACCTGCTGGACCAACTTACGCAGGACCTGGGCGGCGGTCACAACGTCGCGCAGACGGTATTCATCGAGTGCCACTCCATGTACCGGGCCAAGGGGCCGGAGGAAATGCGGGCGGTCGGCGAAACCGAGTTTGTCCAGGGCATCTCCGCCCAGAGCGCCAGCGGTCAGTATGGGTCCACCGAGGTCGCCGCCGGCATCATTTCCAACGCCAACCTGATGCTGGGCGACGCCGTGGCCCCGGTTCTGGAAAGCCACGTAGCCGCCAGCGCCAACCGGTTCCGCGGGATACGGTTCTCGTGCGCCTGGGACGCCAGCCCCGAAGTCACAGCCGGACGTTCCAGCACACCGGGTATGCTCGGCGACGCGACTTTCCGCGCCGGTTTCGACCGGTTGCAACGCATGGGGCTCAGCTTCGACGCGCTGGTGTACCACACTCAGCTTGGCGAACTGGCCGACCTGGCCGGTGCGTTCCCCGACGCAACCATCATCCTGAACCACATTGGTCGCCCGCTGGGCGTGGGTCCCTACGCCGGGCGCCGTGACGAGGTGTTCGCCGACTGGCAGACCGGCATCTCGGCCGTCGCGACCCACGAAAACGTGGTGGTCAAGCTGGGCGGGTTCGGCAACGTGATCAGCGGCTACGACTGGCATCAGCGCGACGTGCCGCCAGGTTCGGAAGAGCTGGCCGATACCATCCGGCCCTGGCTGGATTACTGCATCGAGCATTTCGGACCCGAGCGCTGCATGTTCGAGAGCAATTTCCCGGTGGACAAGGCTTCCTATCCGTACACCACGGCCTGGAACGCCTTCAAACGCGTGACCTCAGCCTATTCGGACGCGGAAAAGGCGGCGATGTTCCAGGGCACGGCGGTCAGGGCCTACCGTTTGTAGACACCCGAGGGCGGTCAGGTACCGGCAGAGGGACTGAACTGGTCAGATCCAGCTAGACCCCGGGCCGGATATGGCAGCAGGCCGCCCCCAACGGCACTGTCGCGCACGACGTTCGCTGCCACCACGCCCGACAGGCTGCGCGGTCGGGACACCTTCGGCGGTATTTCCTCGCCCGTCGATCAATCGCGGCGGGACGGGTTCCGGGGCCCCGATAGTGTGTGGCCGTGCACCGGGAACCGCCCACGCAAAGGCCGGCTGTTCCACGGGAATCGGCGCCCAGGATTCTCACGGGACACTCACAAAAACAGATGGGTTTTTCACGTCAAATTCACGCTGCGCGGTTATTCTGGAACGCATATAAGTAGAATTTCAAAAAATACGCCAAATCATAGGCAGTCGCGAGAAAGGGCCAAGTACGGGAGAACCCGCCGAGACCGACCCGCGCCGACTTTGCCGATACACGAGAACACCTCCGTTGACCGTCATCAAGACATGGACGCAGCCGGCCCGCCTGAGTTTTGTCATTTCGCTGGTGTCCGTAGTCGCCCTCATCCTGCTCCTGGTCACCCAGGACACGGCCCACAGGAACGTCTCGGCGCCGCCCGCGGGTGTGGACCTGGCCGAGAACCATAACAACGCTGCCAGGGGCGTTTGGTGAATCGCTGCAGTTTCACCGCTGGCGCTCAAGGATCAGGACGAGTCGAACGCCGACGGGGCTCTTGACCCTCGCCCTTTCAGAGGGCGTATCGCCCCAGAGTTCTCACCAGGAGCATGCGGCGGGAGCGCCGATACCCGGGGGTAACGACGGGTACGGTTCCGGTAGGGCCGCGCGCGCCTGTTCGCCATTGAGGAGGGTCCGGGAGGCGAGCTGTACGGCTGGTATAATCGGCAAGTTATCAGCCACGCCACGGAGGCCACTGTCCCGTGAAGAGCTACTACTTCTCCGAGTTCCCCTACCACGAGTACCCCGACGAAGAGGGCGACAAGTACCCTTCGCTGCGCCTCACCTTCCCCAACACGTGGTTCAACCCCAACACGGCCAACGGCCTCTTCAAGCGCTATTTCGACGAGTGCGTGTACGCCGACGAGCTGGGCTTCGACGGCATCATGCTCAATGAGCACCACAACACGCCTTCGTGCATGAACGCCGCCACCAACCTGTCGGCGGCAGTATTGGCTCGCATCACCCACCAGGCCAAGATCCTGTTGCTGGGCAATATCCTGCCCATCCACGACAACCCGATCCGGCTGGCGGAAGAGCTGGCGATGATCGACGTCATATCGGGCGGACGGCTGATCTCGGGTTTCGTCCGCGGCACCGGGGTGGAGACCGTCTCCACCAACAACAATCCGGTGGAAAATCGGGAACGCTTCGAGGAGTGTCACGACCTGGTGATCAAGACCTGGACGACGCCCGGCCCCTTCCGCTGGGAGGGCAAGCACTACAACTTCCGGGTGGTCAATCCCTGGATGGTACCCGTCCAGCAGCCGCACCCGCCCATCTGGGTACCGGGCACGTCGTCACCGGAGACCGCCGAGTGGTCGGGCCGCCACGGATATACCTACGTGGCGTTCCTGACCGACCTGGACGTCACCGAGGAGCTGTTCGGCATGTACACGCAGGCGGCCAACGCGGCCGGTCGCGAGGCGGTGCCGGACAATTTCGGCTACCTGCTCTGCTGCTACGTCGGCGATACCCAGGAGGAGGCCGACGAGCAGGCCAGGCACTTCATCTGGCGCATGGGGCCCACCCTGCGCGGCCCCCGGGAGTACATGGCGCCGGTGGGCTACCGGTCCGCCGCCGGCTCGGCCATCGCCGCCCGGCGCACCGGACTCAAGCCTCTGAACGTGCAGACCTTCGAGGAGCTCAAGGAGAACTACCACATCGTGTGCGGCACTCCGGACACGGTGTTGGAGAAGCTGGAGTTCCTGCACCAGCGCCTTGGGATGGAACACCTGGTGTTCTACGGGCAGGAATCCCGAATGGGGCATGAAGCCACCATGAAGAACATCGGCCTGTTCGGCAAGGAAGTCCTGCCGGTGATCCAGAAATGGTAGGAAACTGACCCGACGCGGGCGCCGGCGCCCGCCGGCTACCGCGATTAAAGAACGGGGGCGGGCAAGTTTGCCCGCCCCTCGCGGTTGGCGCCAGCGTGTGGCCCGCGCTATGTGCGCATGGCGGTGCGGAGGTTACACCGCGGCCAACTCGCGATCCTCGGCGTGGGCCTTGCGGGCGAATGCTCCGCCCGCAGCGTGCAGTGGCCCCCGAACCAGCAGGGTGGGAGTCGGCGAATGCCGCACCACGTGGTCACCCACGCTGCCGAACAGCGCCCGCCCCACGGCGCGACGACCCTTGGTCGCCATCACCACCAGCCCGTTGTCCAGCTTGCTCGCCAGTTGGACAATGCCGTGATGCGGGTTTTCCCGCGAGTTCACCACGTCCACGTCGAACAGCGGGAACCGGGCGCGCAACGCATCCGCCTTTTTCCACAGGTACTCTTCCGAGGCATGGGCCAGATCTTTGGCCATCTCTCCCGGGTCGTTGTAAGCGAACCCCGGCCCGCCGAAATGTCCCCAGTCGGAATTTGTACGGAAATAGTCCGCGCCCGGCGTGGAACGGAACAGGGTGATCCGCGTGCCAAAGGTGGTGGCCAGTTCGCCAGCATAGTCCAGGGCATGCTCGGCAAAGCCGGTCCCGTCCAGCGGGACGATGATGTTCTCGAAGAACTGCGGTACCACCGGGCAGTCGGTCTTGTTGCAGCGCACGATCAGCGTCGGGTTCCGGACCGCGTTCACCACCTTGGCCGTCACGCTGCCGGTCAGCATGCGGGAAAAACCGCTGCGACCGTGCGTTGACATGACGATCAGCGCGTTCGGGTCGCGATTGGCCATGTCTATGATTGCCTCGTGGGCCGGCATTTGGTGGGCTTCGACGAAAACCGGGGTCTGCACGCCCCAATCCTGCATGCGCCGCCTGATGCACGACAGATCGGCCACGGTACGGTCATGCTCGCCGGCGGCCATCGCCGCGCTGAAACGGCCGTGGTCGGCGTCGGCATACCAGTCCGGTAGGGACCCGAAAGACCGCGCCAGCGTTATCGGCGCATGGGTCGCGTTGGCCATCAGCCGGGCTGCCGGAAGCGCCTGAGCCGACAATTTCGACCCGTCCAGGGGAACGATTATGTTGTTGCACAGGGTCATGGTCTTGCCTCCTTGTTTGCTACGTAGCCGTAGCGCTTTTTCCGTTATTTGTGAAACGCCGCACATTCTTAATTCGTATAATCTTTATCGTCGTTATAAATATCGTACCATGGAGCCCGCTGACCGCGCAATGGGCAGTGCGACGGGCAAAAATAAAAAGAGGCCCGCATTTGCGGGCCTCGCCGATACGGGATGCTGCCTGGACTAGCGGATCACCAGCACCGGCGTGTTGGAGTGGCGAATGACCCGGTCGGTGACGCTGCCCAGCACCATGCGGCCCACTCCGCTCCGGCCGTGGGTGGTCATCACCACCAGGGACGGCTGCGCGGCGGCCCGGTCGATGATGCTCTGGGCGATGTTGTCGTCAACCACGTGGGCCGTGTCGACCCCGTGGGCGTGGTCGATGGCCATGCGGTTGGTCACGTCCTCAAGGTAGGAGGCCACGCCTTCTGCATCTTCGCCGGCCATTTCCTCCGGCGAGCCCGGGTCGAAGTCGGGAAGTGCGCCCATCTCCGGCGTTACCACCACCAACTGTCGGCGATAGTAGTCGGCTGTCGGCGTGATCTGCAGGGCGGTTATCCTGGCCGACAGCGCCGCTGCCATGCTCAGCGCGTGGGATATGCCAGTTCTGACAACGCCGAACCGTCCAGCGGCACCACGACGTTCTTCAACGATGTTCCCGGCGACGCGGGGCCGGTGACGGTGGCCCGCACGATCAGCATGGGGTTCGGGACGATGTGCAGCACCTTGTCGGTTACGCTGCCCATGACCCAGCGGGAGATGCCGCCGCGGCCGTGGGTGCACATCACGACCAGCGCGCCCGGATCGGTGCCGGCCTGGGCGACGATAACGTCAGCGGGCTGTCCGCGTTGGGTCGCGATGTTGACGGCGAACCCGGCGGCTTCCAAGCGCTGTCTCGCCGGCGCCAACGAGGCTTCCGCCCGTTCCCTGGCGCCCATCTGCAGTTGGTCGGCGATCCGCGGAGAGCGCGAGCCCAGCACGTTGCTCGGCAGCACGTCATACGCCTGCACCAGCTCCAACGGCACCGACAGCGAACTGGCCACCAACTCCGCGTAGGGCAGCGCCTGTTCCGCCAGGTCCGATCCGTCCAGCGGAACGATTACTTTCGAGTACATATTGCTTGATTCTCCAAGTTTCGGTTTATCGCGATTGACATACCGTACCGTCGCCGCGAATCAGTGTACCACCCCGCCGCTTTACACCGCCGCCACGGTATCCGTATGCGAGAAATCCTCGCCCTTGTACAAGAGGGGAAGGCCCCACACGGAGGCGAGGGCATATGCGAAAGTGTCTCCGAAGTTGAGCTGCGCCGGATGACCGCGGCCTTTGCCGTAGCGCTCGTATGCACTAGCCGCTAGTTCGGCCTGCTCAGCATCGAATGGAACGACAGTGACGGCAATTCGGCGAGCAGTTCGTGAACGCGTCGTCTAACCGCCGTGCCCCTTCCCATAGCAACGATTGACAGTTCCAAAAATGTTGCTGCGGAATAAAACTGCGCCATCGATGATCAATATGCTTGCGGATTTCGACGTGATCTGTTCTTCCGTTGCTAACGCCATCAGTGCAGACGTATCGGCAACCATCACGGCGGTATGCCTTGGGACGACCAGCGGCATGGTCCAAGTAACCTAGCTTATCCATCGCTGCGGCGCTGTCCTGCTGCGCTGGCATCCCTGACGTTCACGGGTGTACAAGGCGCTTGGGCTCGGCAGTGCTGTCATCGAGATAATCGAGCGCCATGCCCACACCTGCTCAGCGGCATTGGGACCAGCTAAAGCCCAGCCGTCCGCGAGCAGCGCGATGCGAGTTTCAATGTTTATACTCTTGTCACGGAAGACATCAGGGCTCAGCCGGCTACTTGGCAATCCGGATTCGTCGTAGAGGTCGTCTTGCAACAATTGGGAAATAGACTTGCGCTCAGGGTTTGAATTGATTAGCCCGGCGACGTACGTGGCTCTGCAGCATTCGCGCATGGCCCGCATCTCTGCATCAGAGTACCATCGCTTGCGCGACTCTGTGCTTTCGTCCAGATAGTCCAGCGCGGCAACAATCACCCGCTCCACCGCGTCCGGCCCGGCAAAGCCCAGCCGCATGGCCAATTCAGCGATGCGGGCTTCCATTTCCGGTCCAGTGGGGTGGCTATTTTGGTACTCCTTGGGGAGCTTCAGCGTAGCGAAAATCCAGTGCAGCAGCCGCAGCGAACCTCTGACTCCATCAAAAAGCGTCAGCCCACGCGCAAGAGGACCTCGGAGGGGTCCACGCCGCAACGGGACAACAGTTTCTTTGCGTTGCTCACAGCTGCTCGTGCGCTGATATTTCCTTCGTACACGAACGGGGTATCAGCGACGATCACCCGTTGGGAGAATGGGTTACCGGAAGGATGAACCGGCTCGGCGCTGACGATATAACGCTTCTTACTGGACTCAATCGGAACGTCGCGCTCCGTAAGCCGCTCGCGGGACCAGAGCCAACTAACCGTGTGTCGAACCAATTGATTCCAACTACTTAGTGGATGTTCTTCCCCATCGGGAAATCTAATTATTTCCGGGCTAGGGTCGCCAGGGTTCGCCGTCAAATGTAACAAGGCGCACCAATCGCCTGCAGGTGCCGAAGCAGTAGTGCGAACCGATGTTGATGGGGGCATTTCCAATGGCATTGGAACCGCGGCCTCTATGACCGATACAACGGGCTCTGGTGCGGGCACTGGCCGTCCCGAAGCTAGGTTGGGCCGCCAGAGGAGCAGCAGTTTAAGCGCACACTCATGGGACGGGGTGTTGGAGATCGACAAGTCCAGTATGCGCCGGTCACCCGAAAAAACGGACACGTCGTCGAGTATCCACCGATCACCATCGGTCAAGCCTGCATACCTGACTTGCTGCATCAATGCGTAAGTAAAGACTTGCTCTTGATGATTCGCCCGCTCCAACGGTTCAGAAAAATGCTTGGCTTCGATCAATGCAGCCGGCCGGCCGTTCCCATCCAACAGGGCGTAGTCGGCCCTACCGTTCCCAATGTTGTACTCCGGCGTCACTACCGAGGGGTCGGAGACTTCCCAACCCAGTACCCGCAACAACGGGTCGATCAGCGCCATGCGCGTGCGTGTTTCGTTCTCGCGCAGGTTTGGGCCGTGATCGCGGATTCGGCGTTGCAGAGTTTCTATGACGTCAACCAGCTCGTCGAGCATCACAATCCTTCCATTGGATCCAATGGTCAGGCGGCCGCACCGGCGGTAGACAAGTCACAGCCGACCGCGCGCAGCGCTTCGGCGACCTGACCGATCGGGGTGCAGTAGTCCAGGCTCAACAAGCCGCTGACGTCCTTCTCGCTGATAGCCAACCGTTGCGCCAAGTCCGCCTGGGTGACCTTCTGCTCGCGCATGGCGGTGTACAGGTCCAGCTGGGCAGCGATAACGGGCTGCACCGTCAGCAACTCCTGCCCGTCCTGGAAAGAGCTGGGTGTGGGCAGCTCTTTGCCCAGGTCCACGTAGCAGCTCAGGGCCACCACCAGGCAATCCTCAGCGAGGATGATTGATTCCTTGAAGGTTTTGCCGCCGGTATGGGCGAATGGTATGTCGGAAAAAGAGACGAGGTAACCCCATCCGCCTTCGGTAGTATCGGGCACAATGTTGCACGGAAAGTTGTACTGCATCGTTCAGAACCTCCGCCGGTCAATGTTCAGGTCTCTGAGCATATCCAATAATAACCCTGGCGAGATTTCTCCGTGTTGCACGATGGTTTTCCGGTCGCCGATGTACAACGTTCCGTGGCTGCCTTTCCCCCGCGCCGGATCGTATTGCCATTCCATCCCATTGGCCCGCGCGTAGCGCCGGGCGCGCCTCACGAACTCTCTCCCATTCATCTAAAAGCACGGTTTCCCCATCCCAAAGGTCGGCCCTGAAACGTCCTGTCGAACCACACCCCTCTAATCCTCCAGCGTCGTTATGTCCCCCGGATCCAGCCCCAGCTCCTGCGCCTTCAGCAGGCGGCGCATGATCTTGCCGGAGCGGGTCTTGGGCAGCGTGGGCGTGAACTCGATCTCCGAGGGAACGGCGATGGGGCCCAGCTCGCGGCGCACGTGGAGTTGGAGGTCATTGACCATGCGGTCGGAGCCTTCGCTGCCCATGCGCAGGGTGACGAAGCCCTTGATGACCTCGCCGCGCAGCTCGTCGGGCTTGCCGATGACCGCCGCCTCCGCCACTTCCGGATGCGACACCAGGGCGGACTCCACCTCGGCGGAGCCGATGCGATGGCCCGCCACGTTCAGCACGTCGTCGGCGCGGCCCACCACCATGTAGTAGCCGTCGGCGTCGCGCAGGGCCACGTCGCCCGAGGAGTACACGCCGGGGATCTGGTTCCAGGTGTCAGCGAAGCGATCAGGGTTGCCCCACACCGTGCGAGAGAAGTGCGGGAACGGCCGACGGATCACCAGGAACCCGCCCTTGTCCGGCTCCTCGATGGGCTCCCCCTCCCGGTCCACGATGTCCATCACCGCGCCGGGCAGGGGTTTGCCGACGCGACCGGGGCGGGTGGTCATGGTGGCGGTGGTGCCCAGGCAGGGGCCGCCGGTCTCGGTCTGCCACCAGTTGTCGACCATGTGTGCCCACTCGCCGCTGCCGCAGATGTGCTCGTAGGCCCAGCGCAAGGCTTCGGGGTTCAGCGGCTCGCCGGCGCAGGTCAGGAAGCGCAGGGAGCGCAGGTTGTAGCGGCTGGCCGGCTCCTCGCCATAGCGCATCAGCATACGGACGGCCGTGGGCGCAGTGAAGATGACGTTGACCCCCGTATTTCTCGATCACCTCGTAGAAGATGGCGTTGTGGGGGAAGTCGGGCGCGCCCTCGCGGAACACGGTGGTGGCGCCGGCGACCAGCGGCGCGTAGACGATGTAGCTATGGCCGACGACCCAGCCGATGTCGGACATGCACCAGAAGACGTCCTTGTCCTTGACGTCCCAGAAGTTCTTGAAGTGGTAGTGGGTGCCGACCATGTACCCGCCGTGGACGTGGACCACGCCCTTGGGCGTCCCGGTGGTGCCGCTGGTGTAGAGGATGTAAAGCGGGTCCTCGGCGTCCATCACCTCGGCGGGACAGTCGATGGAGTTGTTGGCCATCAGCTCGTCGAAGTCGGTCTCGCCGTCGCGCAGGTCCTCGCGGGCCAGCTCGCGGCGGAACACGATGACGTGCTCCAGGCGGTCGCAGCCGACTACAGCCTCGTCGGCGATGCCCTTGAGGTCGACGCGGTTGCCCCGGCGGTAGCCGTAGTCGCCGGTGATCAGCGCCTTGGCATCGGCGTCCTGGATGCGGTCGCGCAAGGAGCCCACGCTGAAGCCGGCGTAGACGACGCTGTGGATGGCGCCGATGCGGGCGCAGGCCAGCATGCTGATCGCGCCCTCCGGCGTCAGCGGCATGTAGATGACGACGCGGTCGCCCTTGCCGACGCCCAGGGACTTCAGCCCGTTGGCGAAGCGGTTGACCTGCTGCGCCAGGCGGGCGTAGGTATAGACCTGCTCGGTGCCGTCCTCGCCCAGCCAGATCAGGGCCGCCTTGTTACGCCGCTCGGTGTTGAGGTGGCGATCCAGCGCGTTGTACGCGATGTTGGTCTGCCCGCCCACGAACCAGCGGAAGTTGGGATAGTCCCACTGGAAGACGTCATCCCACTTGCGGAACCAGTGCAATTCCTCGGCGGCCTCGGCCCAGAACCCCTCGGGGTCTGCGATGGATCGGGCGTACACGCCGTCGTAGTCGGACATCGTGGCCTGCTCGACGACGTGGGGCGGAGGCGGGATCTCCCCGGACTCCTGCAAGAGATGGTCAATCTGTCCCTGCTGAACCATAAAAGCGCACCTCGCACATATTCGTGTTGAGTGCGCCTATTGTAGCGGGATTGCCGGCGTCATGCCGACGCCTCTGCCCGGCGTGTACCGGTCGAGATAGGGCCGATACCTCCCGGTACTCGATCACGTCGATGGCCTCGGCGATAAGGGTGGCCGCAGCTGTCGGGCCACGGTATATGCTTTCGCGCCGGAAACGTCCCGCTGCTACAATGAAGACCGTATCGCACGCGCGACTCTTCGGCATACCGACGACCCGAAACCATGCCCCAATCATCGCCAAACACCCTCGTCCTCCCCGTCGCCGGCATGACGTGCGCCGCCTGCGTGTACCACGTGGGCGAGGCGTTGCGTTCCGTGGACGGCGTGACCGAGGTCAGCGTCAACCTCGCCACCGAGCGCGCCACCATCAGCCTGGGTGACGCTGATGTCGCCGGCGCCCCCGATCTGGAGACGCTGGCCAAAGCCGTAGCCGACGCCGGCTACCGCCTCGACACCAACCCGCAGACAGCCGACGGTGATCGGGGCGCCGGGCCTCGGGCGCAGGAAGAACAACGCCTCAGGATCCGCTTGATCGTGGCGGCGCTGGGTGGCGGCGCGCTGCTGCTCGGCAGTTTCCCGGCGCTGCCCTGGACGCCCGGGTTGCTGACCCTGTGGTGGTATCCGCTGTTGCTTTGGGCGGCGGCAACCCCGGTGCAGCTCTGGGCCGGCTGGTCGTTCTACACCGCGGGGTGGGCCGGACTTCGGCGGCGGCAACCCAACATGCACACGCTGATCGCCCTGGGGACATCGGTGGCATACGGGTACAGCGTCGTGGTGGTGCTGACGACGCTGCTCGCCCCGGGCGCACTGGGTTCTACGGGAGCGCATCAGTTGCACTTCGATATGGCGGCCATTATCGTCGCGCTGATCCTGTTGGGGCGTTGGCTGGAGGCCCGCGCCCTGTCCCGCACTTCGGGCGCTATCGAGCGGCTGTTGGATCTGCGGCCGCAAACGGCGCACCTGATGGCGGCGGACGGCTCCATATCCGACGTGCCGGTTGACCACGTCGAGCCGGGCGACACCCTGGCCGTGCGTCCCGGCGAGCAGCTACCGGTCGACGGTGAGGTCGCCAGCGGCGCCACCAACGTCGATCAGTCGGCCCTGACCGGTGAAAGCATGCCGGCCGAGAAATCCGCCGGCGATCCCGTGTTCGCCGGTACCCTGAACGGAAACGGGGCGATCCTTATGCGCGCGACCCGCGTCGGCCTGGACACGACGCTGTCGCAGGTGATCCGCCTGGTGGAAGAGGCCCAGGGCTCGGCGGCCCCGGTGCAGCGTTTGGCCGACCGGGTCGCGGCCTGGTTTGTGCCGGCGGTGGGCCTGATCGCGCTGGCGGCGGCGATATTGTGGCTGTTCTTCGGGCCCGACCCGCCGGTGCGGTACGCGATGCTAACCCTGGTTGCGGTGTTCATCATCGCGTGCCCGTGCGCGCTCGGGCTGGCGACGCCCACCGCGATCATCGTCGGCGTGGGCAGAAGCGCGGAGCGCGGCATCCTGGTCCGGAGCGCGGCCGCCCTGGAAACCGCCCATCGCGTGGACGTGGTTGTCCTGGACAAAACCGGCACGCTTACCACGGGGCAACCGGAGGTCACGGACGTCGTGTCCGCCCCGGGCGTCCTCGCTGCCGACGTGCTGCGTTGCGCGGCGTCGGTGGAAACGCTGTCGGAGCACCCCATTAGCCGGGCCGTTCTGCGCCGGGCGCATGACGAGGATCTGTCGCTCACCCCGGCCAGGATTTCGTTGCCCGCGCCGGCGCGGGAGTGACCGCCATGGTCGCCGAACGCGAGGTGGCGGTCGGCAACGCCGCGCTGATGGAACAGGTCGGCGCGCCGCCGCCCGGCGACCTCGCCGCAGCAGCAACGTCGTTCGCCGAACGTGGCGCCACGCCGATGTTCGTCGCCCGGGGCGGCCAGGTCCTCGGCGTCATCGCCGTCGCCGACGCGGTGAAGCCGGGCGCGGCTGATGCGGTGGCGGCCCTGCATAGGATGGGAGTGCGGACGGCGATGCTCTCGGGAGACCGTCCGGAGGTGGCCGCGACGGTAGCATCCGCGTGCGGCGTCGGCGAGTACCAGGCCGGGATGCTGCCGGCCGACAAGGCGGAAGTCATCGCCGGGATGCAGGCCCAGGGACACACCGTGGCGATGGTCGGCGACGGCATCAACGACGCGCCGGCGCTGGCTCGCGCCAACGTCGGGATTGCCATGGGCGGTGGAACCGACATCGCCCGCGAAACGGCGGACGTCACCCTGATGCGGGACGACCTCGCCGGCGTCGCCACCGCTCTGCGGCTGTCTCGATCAACCATGCGCACCATCCGGCAAAACCTGTTCTGGGCCTTCTTCTACAACACGCTCCTGATCCCGGTGGCGGCCGGGGCGCTGTACCCGGTGTTCGCCGCGGTGGGGGGAGTGCCGGGAGGCCTGACGTTCTTCTTCGGCGAGGCCGGCTTCCTGAACCCCATCCTGGCCGCGCTGGCGATGGCGTTCAGCTCGGTTAGCGTGGTCAGCAACTCTCTGCGACTGCGACGGGCCAACCTGGGGTAACTTCCCGGCGACCACGGCCTGGTGCGCCCGTGGGGCCACCGCTGGTACAATCGGCCGCACAGACAGCACACGCCTCCGGAGACGCGCCATGGCAACCGCAACCGATCCGATCTGCCTGATGCAGGTGGATACTGAAAACCCCAACGGAGGAACCGGCGAACACCAGGGCCAGACCTACTACTTCTGCGCCCCGGGCTGCCGCATCGCCTTCGAGAAAGACCCCGAAGGCTGGGCAACGGGTCGCAACAAGCCCGTCGCAATGGAGGAACCCAAACCGCAGCCCGTTACGTTCGTGCGCCGGCTGTTCCGTCGCGGCGACTAGCCATCCGCACCGGCAAGACACCAAAAAGGGCGGGTTCCGATCCCGCCCTCTCAGTTATTCTAGCCGGCGCCAACGACCATCAGGCAGCCGCACCGCAACATCGCTTGAATTTCTTGCCGCTGCCGCAGGGACACTGGGAGTTCCTGCCGATCTTGCGGCCGGCGCGCGGTGCGGGAGTCGACCGGCCCGGCGATACGGCGGCCATGGGGCTCACCGGCGCGCGGGGCGCTGCCGTTGGCCTGAGCCCGGGTCGTCGGCGCTTCCGGAGCCAACGTGACGTGGAAGAGCGTGTGGGTAACCTCTCGCTGCATCTGGCGGGTCAACTCCGTGAAGGCGCGCTGCCCCTCGGAGCGATAGACCGTCAACGGGTCCCGTTGCCCCACGGCCTGGAGCCCCACGCCCGTGCGCAGGTTTTCCATGTGGGTCAGGTGATTGACCCAGTGGGTATCGATGGACTTGAGCAGCAGCAGCCGTACCAGGGTCTCCATGTCCTCGGGACCCAGGGTGCGCTCCTTGGCCTCGTAGAGGGTTTCCGCGTACCCGTCGAGGATTTCCTCGATATGATCTCGGCGCAGCGCCAGAACCTTCTCCGGCGTGTCCAGCTCATCCGGCGGCGGGCAGATTTGCCGCAGCGCGCCCACGAACCCGTCCGCGTCCCAGTCATCGGCGTGCCGGGCCTGCAGGTGGGCGGAAACCAGCCGGTCAAACTCCGCGCCCAGCATGTCCAGGATGCGCTCGCGGAGGCCCAGGCTGGCCAGGATGCGGGAGCGCTGCTCGTAGATCACGGAGCGTTGCTGGTTGAGCACGTCGTCGAAGTTGAGCAGGTGCTTCCGCATGTCGAAGTGATGGCCCTCGACCTTGACCTGCGCGCTGGAGATGGACTTGGTGATGAGCTTGTTCTCCAGCGGCTCGTCGTCGTTGAGGCCGGTCCAGTTCATCACGTTCTTGATGCGGTCACCGCCGAAGCGCTGCATCAACTCGTCCTCAAGGGCGACGAAAAACTGGCTGCTGCCGGGATCGCCCTGGCGCCCGGCGCGACCCCGTAGCTGGTTGTCGACGCGCCGAGCCTCGTGGTGCTCGGTGCCGATGACGTGGAGGCCCCCCAGCGTGATGACGCGGTTGTGCTCCTCCTGCCAGTCCTGACGGTCGGTGTCCGCGCCGCCCAGCACAATGTCGGTGCCCCGGCCGGCCATGTTGGTAGACACGGTGACCGTGCCGGCGCGACCGGCCTGGGAGACGATGGTCGCCTCCTGCTCGTGGTTGCGGGCGTTGAGCACCTGGTGCCGCACGCCCCCACGGCGCAGGCGATCGCTGAGGGATTCCGAGGTCTCGATGGAGGTCGTGCCGACCAGCACCGGTTGGCCCGATTCCGACCGTTGGACGATGTTGTCTATCACCGCCTGCCACTTGCCTTCCGCAGTGGGGAAGATCAGATCGCTGGAATCGTCCCGCACCATGGGAACGTTGGTAGGAACCGCAACCACCTCGAGGCCGTAGATCTTGTAGAACTCGTCGGCCTCGGTGACGGCGGTACCGGTCATGCCGGACAGCTTGTGGTACATCCCGGAAGTAGTTCTGCAGCGTGATGGTCGCGTAGGTCACGCTTTCGCGCTGGACCTTCACGCCCTCCTTCGCCTCAACCGCCTGGTGGAGCCCGTCGGACCAGCGCCGGCCGTACTGCAAGCGACCGGTGAACTCGTCAACGATGACCACCTCGCCGTCGCTGATCACGTAGTCCTTGTCCTTGACCTTCTGCACCTGGGCTACCACCGCGTTCTCCACGTACTGGACGAGGTGGAAGTTCTCGGGATCGTAGAGGTTATCGACCCGCATGTGCCTCTCGGCCCTGCCGATGCCGTCCTCGGTGAGTGAGATGGCCTGGGTGCGCTCATCCACGGTGTAGTCTTCGTACTCCCGCAGGCGGGGCGCCAGCCGGGCGCAGTTGGAATAGTGCTCCACCGGCTGCTGGGCGGGACCGCTGATAATCAGCGGAGTACGAGCCTCGTCGATCAGGATGTTGTCCACCTCGTCAACGATGGCGAAGTGATGCGCCGGCCGGTCGGCGGCACGGGTCTGCACCTGGAGTTCGGCGTTCACCGCCATGTTGTCGCGCAGGTAGTCGAAGCCAAACTCGTTGTTGGTGCCGTAGAGGATGTCAGCCCGGTACGCCTCTGCGCGGGACACCGGAACCAGGTATTGGTAGCCGCCGCGGCCCACGTCGGTCAGCTCGGGGTCGTAGAGGAATGCCGCATCGTGCTGCAGGCAACCCACGGTGAGGCCGAGCAGGTGGTAGATGGGCCCCATCCAAATCGGGTCACGCCGGGCCAGGTAGTCGTTGACGGTGACGATGTGGACCCCGTCGCCGGTGACCGCGTTCAGAAATGCCGGCAGGGTGGCGACCAGGGTCTTGCCCTCCCCCGTTTTCATCTCCGCGATCTTTCCCTGGTGCAAGACGGCGCCGCCAATCAGCTGCACGTCGTAGTGCCGCTGACCCAGCGTGCGGCGCGCGGCCTCACGCACCACCGCAAAGGCCTCCGGAGCAGATCGTCCAGCGACGCGCCGTCGTCCACCCGTCGTCGGAACTCGTCGGTCTTCGCGCCCAGCGCCTCATCGGTCAGACTCCGTATGGAGTCCTCCAGGCGGTTGACCTGCGGCACCAGTTGGCCGCGCAGTTTTTCGGCGGCCCGCTCCGGCGTGTCGCCGACCATTTTTTTCAGAAACGAAACCATGCGTATCCCTCACCCTTGCCTTATTGTGGCGAAAGAAAGTACACCCTGCCAGTATAGCAAGGATACCGGTATGACAAGAATGCCGGGCCGGCGCAGTCAGCCGGCCATTGCCGTTGCTCACCGCGTGCGCGAACCGGGACCCTGTTGCCGCAAACCCGCTGCTTGCGGGCCGTCAATCTAATCGAACTGGTAGGGGTAAACTACCTGTAGAACCCGCCCGTCGCGCAGGGCGTCGAAGTACCCGTGGGTAGCGTCGGGCTGCTGGAGCCAGCGGCGGATGACATATACGCACAGCGACGCCAGTTGCCCGCCGACGCTGGTCGCGGCCGGGGCTATCATCAGGTCGTCATACATCGACGGGTTGACCGAATCGTTCTCTTCGCTCAGAAAATCGGTCAGCGCCAGGGAAATGGACTGGGACTCCGCCCCCGCCATCAGCATCGCGTAATCGTTGACGCTCCACGACGACTGCATAATATCGTCGGGGTTCATCTGGGACATGACGTTCTCATCCAGGAACATGGCCAGCGCCAACAGGAAACGGCTGAATGCCAACCGCGACGGGTCCGTATTGCCGTAGATCGAGTTTCCTTCTGTTTTGCTGGCGGTCAGGAACTTGGCCTTGTCAATGGACGACACCAGCAGTGGGATCTCGCGGCGGATCAGGATGCTCAGGCAGTCCTGGATGAGCTCGGCGCGCCGGTCCGGCCGCCACGAGCGGAAGTAGCCAGTGCCCTGGTACAGGTCGCCGGGGCGCAGCTCGTTGGGCACGCCGTCGGACCCGGCCGGGGCGCCGAAATGGCGGCGAACCAGGGCGTCATACTCCCCGGTCATGGAGATGTACTGGCTCTCCTGTACCAGCAGTCCGGCGTGGACGTGGTGCGGCTGGCTGGGGTCGTCGGCGCTGAGGCCGGTCTGGCCGGATTCACTGAGGAAAACCAGGTACATGGTAGCCTCCCAGGCTGGCGCGGCGGGACCTGTCGGCCCTGGCTGGGGTTGGCGGCGATGCCGGCAGTGGTCAGCATCGCGGGTCAGGAGCGGCTATTGCGCGACCGTCCGGAAGTCGACGTGGAGAACGTCGCCGGTGCGAGGCTGCCACTGTATCTCCGACGCAACGGCGGTGTACTCGCCCGATTCGCCGGCGATGGTCACGCGCAACGGCTCGCCGTACTCCCCGCCGGCGCGGCTGATCGCCAGCAACAGGGTGCGGGCCTGGCACTGCAGGGAGCGGGATTCGACGCCGCGGCCATAGAGGTGAACGGGCACAATGCCTCCGCGGCGCAGCGCCTTGACCTTCTTTCCAATGGTATCGCGGGTTTCGAGCTGGACGGAAACCGTCGGGGTGGTCATCGTAATCGGAACTCCTGCGGAACGTATGGCGGGGACAACCCCGATCGGAGCGCATATCATAGCATACGGAAGGCGGTATCGATTTGTTGTGGCGTTCGACACCCTGGGCGGGTTCATCGACACGGACGCTTCCCAAATAAGGAACACCTTCGTGGATTGGCTCCAAGGCTGGCACCGATGCACCCGTGGGACGCCATGTATCATGAAGTTGTCGCTTTCACGACATCTCGAATATCATCGAGCGCACATCCGGTACATATTATGCTAACCGACAGACAGATCCAGGAACTGATCGTTCAGCCCAAACGTATCACGGGCAAAGATCCGGCCAGCGGGTACCGCGAGGAATATCGCCAACGACGCTGCGATTTAGAATTGGAAACCATGTCCGATGGCAACCCATGCTTCGTAGTATTTGTTCGCCAAAACCTCGTGTTCATCGAGAATTTTTCAATCGGGCTGCGTTACCGAACCGGCAACCGCACTGTGCCGGTGATCACCCTGATTCGTTACAACGGGCCGCACGGTGAATTCAGCACCCAAGCCGACGGACACTATGCCCAGGCCCACATCCATCGCGTCACCCATTCTGAGTTGGACTCAGGCAGTACCCAACCCCCGGAAAAGAATCGACGGATCACCGACCTCTACGCCACGTTTGAACAGTGCATGCGGGTGTTTTTAACCGACACCCGCGTCGAGAATTACGCCGACTATTTCCCGGATTTGCAACAGGGCAGGCTTTTCGATGGACATGGTTAGCGCCAGAAACGCTTTACAGAATACCCCGGCCGCAACGTTCGAATTGTACGAACGCCGGCCCGGCAATTACCAATTGATATTGCCGGTCTATCACGAAGACGGGGATATGGTCGACATCTTCATGGTAGAAAGTCCTCGTGGCGAAGATCATATCCGCCTGTGTGACTTCGGCATGGGAATCATGCGGCTGTCTTACACTTATGACGTGAGCTCCGATGTGCGCCGGAGAATATTTGACAGCATCGTCGTCAACAGCGGCGTCCAAAACGATGGCGGCAATCTGTTTCTGGATGCCCCAGTGGACCGCGCGTACGAGGGAATCTTGCAGTTCGCGGGTTGCGTACAAAAAATATGCAACATGCGCTATTGGAGCAGAGAGACCGTCAGAAGTGCGTTTTACGACGATCTGGATGACTGGGTCAAAACTGACCTCGCACGATTTGATCCTCAGCCGGATCAATTTCCGCTGGCTGACTATCCCAGCGGCGTAGACTGGTCGTTGCGGCACAACGAGCGCGATTTCTACGTGTTCGGCGTACGGGGAAACGACAAAGCGAAGAACGTCGCTATCTCGCTGCTGGAGTTTCAGAAGGCCCGATTACCGTTCATCAGTCTGGTCGTCCACGAAGATATTGAAGAGCTGGACCGTCGCGAACGGCTTTACATCACCAGGAATGCAGATACGCAGTACCCCGTGCTCCGTGACTTTCAGGAGAAAGCTGCCGACGACATTCACAGGTTCGCCGGCGTCCTCTCTTGAACAGAAAAACCGGCACGTAATCACGCATGCGGGTGTCGTCCCGCGCTACCCCAGCGCCTCCTCGTTCGCGCAGGCCT